ATGTGTGATGACAGTTGCTGTATCTTGGCATAGGAATGGATATAACTCTTCCATCAGGGGATGTAACTAGATGTTCAATGAGATCATTTTTTTTTTTTGTTTTTGGAACCAAGGCCAAGGCCTGTAGAGCTGAGAACAACCAATGCTAGCTTCTATCTTCCAGGTTCTACAATCCTGTGATCTCCCACAGGGCTTTCAATGAGAGCCTCATTCGGAGAGTTGACTTTGCAACACCCCTCCCCCAGGTTCTCACGTGCACACCCATAGGAAACAAGAGGCTGAGAGGTAAAGGAAGCCAGCTTGGCAGGGGCTGTGGGGAAGGGAGAGGCCTCTGGTTTGGGGATAGCATTCTTTCTGCCTGTGATGGAAAGAAGCCAAGTACATCCCTTACCTAAAGCCAAGAAAAATATATGAAGACAAGAGGTCCAGTGGAATGCTTGGCTGGAACTCTCACCAATAATGGAAAGAAAAATACAAAGATAAAATGATACAGCATCGCCAAGACACCTCAGGTCTCTGTCTCAAAGAAACAGAGATCTGGATTCAAGGGAACTCTAGGTGCTCTAAATGCTGCCTAGGAAGCTGGGAGGGATTGAAGATGTCATACTGGTCGGGTTCATTGAGAACAGTGGGCAAAGGAAGCTATCAGGGAGCCTGAGGCGTAGTTCGAGTGATATAGTGCCTGCCTCCTAAGTAGGAGCCCCAGAGTTCAAACCTCAGTACTCCAAAGGAAAAAAAAAGGAAGAAGGAGGAGGAGGAGGAGGAGGAGGAAGAGGAGGAGGAGAAGAAGGAGGAGGAGAAGGAGAAGAGGAGGAGGAGGAGGAAGAAGAAGAAGAACAAGAACAAGAAGAACAAGAACAGGAAGAGGAAGAGGAAGGAGGAGGAGGAGGAGGAGAAGAACAAGAACAAGAAGAACAAGAAGAGGAAGAGGAAGGAGGAGGAGGAGGAGAAGGAGAAGAAGAAGAAGAAGAAGAAGAAGAAGAAGAAGAAGAAGAAGAAGAAGAAGAAGAAGAAGAAGAAGAAGA